CTCAGACGTTCCTGTGATGTCCCCCATCGTTGGACCAGGACAGTCCTGATCCCGACTGTGAGACACGGACACATTGAGATGCTGGTGCGCTGTGTTATTTCTTCTTACGCTGGGAACTTGAAATAAGAGATCCAAGGTCATGGATACAGGGCGGTTGAAGTGCCCCAGCTCAACCTTCTGCCTACCCAGCTACCACTGAATAAAATCTAAATAATTTCTCTGTAGAGATCTTAGCATTGTGGTAACAGCTAAGTGAACATAGTCCCTGTATTCATTTTACATCCACTTTGACATTCATCTCATTACAGCCTATGAAGTAATGCATGCACTGTTATTAACCATATAGTTATTCTGGAGAAGATATGGGGGTCTGAAGATCCTTCCTAATATTTTCACCACCAAGCACCTCTTATATTATTGCTTCTCATGTATTCTCCAGTTTTAAATATACTGACAGCCCTGGCCAGTTAGGCTCAGCAGTGTGAGCAGTGGTTCTTGGACCGAAGAGTCACAGATGGGATTCAGGTCAAGGGCATGTACCTGGGATTCAGGTTCAATCCCTGGCCCTGGTGGGAGGCAACCAATTGATGTGTCTTTCTCACATTGATGTCTTTCTCTCTCTCTCTCTCTCTCTCTCTCTCTTTCTTTCTCCTTCCTTACCTACCTCCCTTCTACTCTCTCTAAGAAATCAATGGAACCCTGACCGGTTTTTGTCAGTATGTAGAACATTAGCCCACGGCCCAGAGTCACGGTTCAATTCCCAGTCGTGAGCACATATCTGGGTTGCAGGTTTGATCCCTAGCCCCAGTCAAGGTCATGCTGGAGGCAACCAATTAATGTGTCTCTCTCACATCCATGTTTTTCTCTCTCTCTCTCCCTCCTTCCCTTCTTTCTCCCATTCTAGTCTTTTTCTTTTTCTCTTATGTAAGATTAATTTTCCTATGTTTTCATCTCAGCATAATTTATTCAAGGATATGTTGCTAAAATGTGGTTCTAGCCATAAAACCCTTAATGTGGAAAATGACTGCCCTTCCCAGAATCCATTTCTTCTTACATCTTAGCTTCTCATACATCAGCCTAGAAATAAGAAAAATAGTGATGATTTTGTCTCTTTTTACTGGCATTGCCTGGAATTAATTGAGTGTATAATATGCACTCTCTTTTTACCAAAATCCTTCTAAACTGTATTACACATTTCCTTTATTGCTTAAATACAGTATACAGGACATAATAAAGTACTTCCTTAATTACTTGGTAGAATCATTTCAAACATTAATTCTGCTGTTAATGATCTATAGAAACGACTCTCTGAGAATATACGCACAGTTTTTAATGGAATCACTGGCATAGCAATGCGGTTTTATGAGATGAACATGAAGAGCCAAGCGGTGGTGGCCTTGACCCTGCCGCCACCTTGCCAAGTATCGCAGAGCAAGGTTTCTCATAAGAGAATGAAGATCTGTAGATGACTCCCATGTTGCTTTCCAGATATTAGATGTGATGATATCTGTTCAATTCCACATAACTTAAAAGGACCATGTACACAAAAATGTTGCACATTTAACTTTGATCACAGGTAAATGCTCGAAATGCAAAGCTCACTTTTTACTGCAGTGAGAACTTACTGAATTCACACAGTCAACTATAAATCTTCCATTTTTCCCTGTCTGGAAGTTTGTTAGGTGAAGTTCTTATTTTTGTGATTGACTTCAAAATATAATCCTGGCCTGGCCAGTGTGGCTCAGTGGTTGAGCGTCCACCCACGCACCAAGAGTTCGCCAGTTCGATTTCCAGTCAGAGCACATGCCCAGGTTGTGGGCCAGATCCCCAGTGGGGAGCATGCCGGAGGCAGCCAGTTGATGTTCTCTCTCATCGATATTTCTATCTCTCTCTTCCTCTCCCTCTAAAATCAATAACAAAAAAAAATTTTTTTTTAAATATAACCCTAACTCTAACACTTCAAATATGCAAAATTACAGAAAATAACCCAGTAGTTCTTATCGCTGCCATAGTTGCTTGAGATCTGTCTTTGTCATTTCTTCTTAAAGAGAAAACACAAACAAATTTTTCTTTTCATTACCTTTTCTGGGTATACTCTTTCTTTTGTCAAAGAGAAATTATTCTGACACCTCTTAAAAATGGTAAGAAAGACTTGATTCATATCTTTGGCAAGAGGAGTCAAGACTATTACAATGGAGGAGACAGAATGAACTCAACTCCAAGTGCAAGTACAAGTATAAGTGGGATTTAAGCCAATGAGCAGAATGACCAGAGTCAGTGGATGGAAAATGTCTAAAAGAAACTTGATTAAATTTCAAGGACAATGTGAGTCTTGCTAAACTGGCCTAATAGGATTCTTGCTAAAAGGAGGTCATGGGCATAGACATTAAGTCTGGGTAATATGGAACTTGATCAGATATCAAGAGTAATCAGATATCAAGGGGAGAAAGATTCTCACTGAACTGACTTAGCTACGATTCATTACTAAAGGCAAACCGGTTATAAGGCCAAAGGATAAAACACAGTTTAAAAATGAGGTGAAGAGGGGCTTAGAGCAGTCTGACCAAAGTTTCATCAAGGAGGGTGTTTTGGCCACTCCCTTTGTTTTCACTGTTACCAGACACTTTTCTGAAGGATATCTCTACCTTCCCATCCAGTGGAAGACCTACAGGTTGGGCAAAAGAAAGTTAATAGTTGTTAGTATGGAAAATAATGCAATAATTAAAAATAATAGTACAAGAATAAACTGTGTGTTTCACATACTCACAGCTTTAAAACTACTTTTGCCCGACCCTGTATTTCTGTCCTCCTGTATTTCTATCTCATCACTATTCAGATTTCTCTGACATTTCTTCTGTACTCTGTTCAGATAAAAACATGTTCTTCTAATTTGTAAAATAATATTTTAATTTGGAGTTCAATAGAATATGGAGGACATATAGTACCTTAAGAGATGTTTCATGCATTGTAGTCCTTAACTTAATAGTCCATTAATTAATTCCCCCCATGCATAGAATACATGCCAAAACCTAGGCAATTAAAACAACTTCAGGTGAAGATTTGTTCATGCCTATCTTTTTGTTTTTATAAAGAGAGAGGTAGACAGAACAGACACACAAATTGATAGATCCATTTATATATATACACACACACACAGACACATACATATTTATATGTATATATATAGATAGATAGATAGATAGATAGATAGATAGATAGATAGATAGATAGATTTCTGTTCTTTTCTCAGTTCTGCCTACAGCACATTCCTCTCTCCTCTGACCTTCCTTGTATTTTTAATTGGCAAAATTTCTTTCCTCTGTACATTTTGATGTCAGCACTTGCCCATCTGGTGCCACTGAATATTGCTGTCTTGCTACTGTTTTGATATTTATAAAACATGTAATGTAGAGGAATCTAGTTTCTGTTTTACTGTAGATGTGAGCGATCAATATTTTGTTACCTCACCCCACAAATCCAAGTTTAATGTGGCTTTCTGTGTTGTATGTATAACCCATAGCACATTTGCATTCAATGTTAGTAATTCTGAATTAAATTCCCACTGAGATCATAGGCAAGCAATTAGTAGCAATAGCTTGCTTTTCTAAAACAAAAAAAAAATCTGCCCTAAATTTATGATTAAATTATAATAATAGAATACATATTCACACAGATGCCCTATTGTGGACAGAGTAGACTGTGAGTCAGCTATTAAGAGTTCTATTAGCATGTATGATTTTCATGGTGGGCTATATTTTTATGCAAATAAAGTATTCATAAGTCTCTCCCTATAATATTATAATGCTAAAGAGATTATATTTTGTACACATTAAGCAGTAAAAAGATATTTTACAGGCAGAAGTGGATGTAGATAGAATCTTCGCTGTTTACTTGCATATCGGAACATTAGTTTCCCTTACAGACACTCCCCTATGTCCTTATACACTCTTAGGTTTTTCACTTAATCTTGCAAGGCCTTGAAACAGTTTTTTTCTTTTCATCTTGAAAACACCTTCTGCTCAATTTAACTGACCTGTTCAATAGAAAATTAATTGACTGTAAGTAAATCTGATGTACAGTTTTTGAGAACCAGTTAAGCATCTTATGCTGTGTAAGCCATCAAGAATACAACTGTGGCCCGACCTGGTGTGGCCCAGTTGGCTGGGCATCATCCTGTCAGTTGGGGGATGGTGGGTTCAGTTACTGGTTGGAGCAGGTGCCGGAAGTGGCAGATCTATGCTTCTCTCTCATGTTGATGTTTCTCTCTCTCTCCCTTCCTCTCTCTAAAATCCGTTTCAGAAAAAGAAAGATTATGATTGACTGTCATTTGCACTATTGTCAAAGTTCCAGAATGTACCAAGACGAAGGTCCATAGTTGTCTGTCTTCCCAATTAGGTTATTTCAATAAAATGCACAATATGTTGTCAATTTTATCGTAACTGTTATTTCTTTTAATTGAGGTCTGGTATAGGGCCTGAGAATTGAAAGAGCATCATAGTAATTGATCAATTTTCAAATTAACTATTGTAACTAAATTTAATCATCTCTGGTTTAATAAAAAGTAGAAATGATATTTTAGGGAGCTATTTCAAAATATTTTTAGAAGAAACTCTATGACTAAAAGCAAGATTTTAAAATTATATGACACTGATTTTGTTAAGTTTAATACTAAACTCTCACTTTACATTATGGATTGTTTCAGAAACACATTCCAAATATGTAGGTAGCCAGATATTTTTGCCGTAATATTAAAAGCAAACTTACCTCTGAGCAGTTTCATATTTTAATAATTAATCAACTTTGAATGTTTTCTATTAATATTTAAATTATTTGATGAACAGTTGAGTGACGTATTTTCATGAGTTCTGATTTCACATTAAATATATGAAAATAGAATGGCTGTGACTTCTTCTTGTAGTTAAGTAATACTAACTATTGTTTATACTAATTAAATGATTATCTTAAAAGGTGTATAAATATTGTGTCATATTGCTTTACAGATGCTCCCAAGTTCATATCAAACCAAACAATTTATTACTCTTGGGAAGGAAATCCAATCAATATAAGCTGTGATGTGAAATCGAATCCACCAGCCTCAGTCCATTGGAGAAGAGAGAAATTAGTCTTGCCGGCTAAAAACACCACTAATTTAAAAACATATAGTACAGGGAGAAAGGTGATATTAGAGGTAAGTTTTCATGTACATATCAATAAATTGTACTATCTTAGCCATTAGAATATGTTTAAAGATCTCAATATATAAATATAATAATATGTGTTTACATTATAGAATATTTATAAAACCTATCGTACATATTTTATGGTTATTTACCAAAAGGGGAGTATTATGCATTTGGATTATGGCTCATTACTGGTTAATATTTCACTATTTATATAGAAATATGAGTGTATAGCAAAAGCCGTTATTTCTCATGAATTTATTTTTGGAAAATAAAAACAATTATATCAGGAAAAAATAGGGATATGATTTGTCATTTCTTGGAGCCAAAATTTCAGTTTCAGTGTTGCTCCCAGCCATTGGTTCTGTGGTGACAGCTCCTTCGCCTTAGATGGGCGTATGTAAATGCTGTGTGCTGGCTAGATATTGACAAGTTCTCAAATGAACCAGATTTCCTGTTCAATTCCTCATTTCATTTTATTCTTAAAATTAATATGATAGATAGCTGTTTTGTACTGCCAAGTGCCTGGTGTTTAAATTCTGTTTGAATACAATACCTTTTATTTATTCATTGCAAATTAATGTATGTGCATATCAGTTTCTAAAAGATATATGTCTATGACAGTGGTCATCAGCCTTTCCAATTTAGGATGCTTTCAGAACAGTTGTGAATGTTCTTCAATACAAGTCTTATTTAGCAGAGCAGATGCTACATGTTCCCACTAACTCAGTTTGCATTGCTCCCTCCCCTTCCCCTTTCCTTCCCGGCCTGGGCCGGAGGCACCTCTCCTTTGGCAGCCGGGTGGGCCTGGGCCGCTGGGAGTCACCCTATTGACGATGAATTTAATGCAGACACTAGACTGGCATAGAGCACTCGTTTTTTTTTTAATGTATGTTTTAGAATAGCATCTGATAATCCATACTGCCTGAACCGAAAGGTGCCATGTAAACTCTTCTGCCTGGAAACTGGACTTGGTAAAACATTTGGTTGATAAAAGGGTTTGGCTATCACTTTCCAAATGTTTGGAAAATTGGCTGATAATTAAGCCACTTGCTCTAAATCAATTTAAATTGGTTTCTGTGTAACTATATTAGAACTAGCTATTAGCGGATTGACACAGAGGAAGACATTTGGTGAGATTTAGCCTAAATTTTAGGAATTTAACCATAGTTAAAACCGATGTTGGCGTTTAACTGCTTTCGGGTAATGTATTAGTGTGTGTTCTGGCTGGCAAAATGAAATATCGCAGACTGGGAGGCTTAAATAACAAAATCCCCCCGCCCCACTCCGATATGTCTGGAGGATAGAAATCCAAGATCAAGGTTCACAGCATCAATGATTTATGGTGGAATCGCTCACCTCGGTTTGCACGGCACTGCCTCTGGCGTTGCACTCACCTGGCCTTTCAAACTCTGTGTCTTCCTGAAGCCCTCATCTCCAACTCTAGTGGTCCATTAGAGTTCACCATGTGACCTTGGGGGAGGACACAAGTCAGTCCACGACAGGTAGATTTAAGTTCACGTTTACATGATTAATCTGTAATTTCTGCTTTCCTTTATCTTGCTACTTTTCAGTTTCTGGGACAGCTCATACTTCTCCATCATCAATGTCAAGCAACATTTTATAAAACTGACATTTAACTATTTTATTCATATAAGGCTTTCACATTTTTTATTCTTCTGCCTAAATGACATTCTCCCTACCCCAAAGTGAAAACTAAGCAATTTTTTTTTACTTTAGATATGATCTCTTGGCTGAAGCATTAACCTTGAGCATACATTTTTTTATGTGCACACAGTTTTTAAAAATTAAATTTAAATCTTGAATAAATAATATAAATGTGTAACTAACACTACTTAAAGACAATATAAAACAAAATGTATAATATAACAATAAGAAAAGCATGCATAGTTACTTGGGATAGTACATTATTATTTCTATTTTTCTTAGTAATTATTATAATAGTAATATCATTTTTAATAATTGGAACATAATAAAATATAGAAAAAAATCAGCTTTACAGATAATAACAAATTGGTCAATAATAAATTTCATGAATTGATTATTAAATATTTTCCTTTTTCTTTGATTAAATATATACTCAAACTTTAAATTTATAAATTTTTAAATATTTTTAAAATTTCTAAATCCTTTAGGTTACTGTCCATAAATGCATCTCTTATAGCTCATCCAAACTATTATTTTCCATTTTTTCGAGTAGTCCCTTGAGATAAGACAACTTTTCAGTACATGAACAAAAAAACTGATAGAGTAAGTTTCTAGTAGGATGATTGGAATAGTATTCTGCTTTAAATCATCTGTATTTGGTCCTTATCCTAAGTAAAGATGATGTTACATAAATGATTTTCTTACCATGGAATACATAAAAAGAAGAAATCTGGTTTTGAGGTTTAGGAAAAAGACTAGTGAGCTATTTTTTATTAACATTGTACTCTCAGCTTTGAATTTGATATTTAAAACTAAACTTGCTGATCTATTCTGTTGTCACTGCCCAGCATCTTAAGTAAACTTGAATTATTTGAACTGTACATTAAAACATAAAGAACTGTATCTTAAGTAGATGTTCCTAGTACTCCTTGCATAGATAGCAACATTCATTTGCACATTTAAAACATTTAAATATTTTAAAATATATAAAATTAATGCTTTATAATATTACTTTTACTTTATAACATTACTGTTGTATATTACTTGATATTTTGATAAAAGTATCAGTTAATTTATTATGCTAAAATTGGGTATAAAACCACTGTTGGACTATACTTTCATATTGTTTTCCTGAAATATACCAAATATGTTGCAGGGCACATGATTGGCCCAGGTCATGTATAGGTCTGTGGAGTTTCTTTTTGTTTTGTTTTGTTTTTAATCTCCAGTACTCAGGGGAGTTTCTGTATATATTAATCATACAACATGATATACTAATTATTTATTTATATTTGAATTGTAAAGCTTTTTATCTCATAGGTGAACTCCCAGAACGAGAGAGAAAAAAAAAAAGTAAATTGAAATTTTGAAAAATTATTCCAATGAACATGGATCTATTTAAATTACTCTATTACTCTTGAGAAGCAGTGCACTAGTGATGATTCTGTTATGGCCATCCTGTCTGCATTGGATTCACTCAGTACACTCGCTTCCCTATGTAATTTACAAATAACCTTCTTGTATGCCTGTAAAATAAGGACATTGTTTTAGTCAAATTCCTTTCTCACTAGTAAAATTATTTTAGAGTTAAATTAGCCTGGTTTATTAAAAGCTAAATGTAAGAAAAATGAATATTTAACCGCTTAGGAGTACTTATTTAAGAGCTGTTAAAACCTCAAATCCTTGAATCTTTGCTCTGTTCCTAGATGGACAGCTGACTGGAGAATGAATGACACAGCTTTATTGTACTTTTCAAAATTACCATCTTCAATGGACCTCAAAATTGCACTTTTAGTTAATAGCCTCCTATTACCACAGAATTATTTTCCCCCTTTTGGGACAGAGTTGAAATTAACATCAACTCTTGTTGTAAGCATATTCTCTCTTAATAGTAGTTACTGGGATTGAAATTTTTATCTATTACTATCATCGAATCTCTTTTCTGAATTGGCACTTCAGACTTTTGGTACATTAGAATTACAGGGTTGGTCCCAATGTTCAGCAATAGAGTCCCAGAAGGTTAATTTAATTATGGATTTCAAATGGGTAAGGTTTGAGGTCAGCTATGTTCTACTTAGAATGAAAGAGAATGATAGGAAATGAACAGAAATGGAAGCAAGATACTGTTATTAGGTACGAAGATAATGTGCCTCTCTACAAAGATTGCTACACAGCAGTGTTTCCCTGCAAAATGCCTGCTGGGAACGTTTTTTTTCTAAGAATGAATCTCCATCCTTCATTAATATTTTATGTTAATTAACATCTGACATACTTTGAGCCTTTCTTGAACTGTGAAACTGCCTGATCTTAGTGTAAAACAGAGTAAACAAAGAGTTACTTCTTTTGGTACAAGTTTCTTGTTTTTAAGTTTACATCTGCAATAATTGCAGAATCCGTTTTTCAAAGTCTTCTACTTTCTGAGCTTTACACATATACATATCTAATGATTTTCTTATTCCATAGATGTAACAAAACGGTGGCACTAATCTACTTAATATATTGATGAATTGTATTCACCTACTGCTGTGGACAGTATAACTCCATAACTCCATGGATTACGTCTTTATTTTATTTATTTATTATTATTATTATTATTTTTATTTTGTTATTGATTATGTTTTAGAGAGAGGGGAAGGGACAGGGAGAGAGAGGTAGAAATATTGATGAAAGAAAAGCATCAATATCTGAAAGAGAAGCATCAACATCCATGGGCCGCCTCCTGCATGCCTCCCACTGGGAATGGAGCCTGCAGCCTGGGCATGTGCCCTGACCTGAGGGGAACTGAACCAGCAGCCTCTAGGTACATAGGTTAATACTCAACAATTGAGCCACACTGGCCGGGCCATGGATCACATCTTTAAAGGATTCGTATTACTTAGTATATTGACTTGATATAGGAAAGGAAAGTTATGGCAAGGAGTTCTGAATAATTAAATATGGGTGAAGACAGTGTGCATATAAGAGTTTAGAGTCCATTTTGAAACTTCTGTGATACTTTTTTAAAATGTTGAAAAGTGTGTTATTAATATTATTTTAGATTGCACCTACCTCTGACAATGACTTTGGACGCTATAACTGCACAGCCACTAATCGTATAGGAACAAGATTTCAAGAATATATTCTTGCTTTGGCTGGTAAGTACAGCATAAGGATTTCTCAAATCTCATACAATATGTCTGTAATCAGATAGCTTTTACATTTCCATAATTCATGATTCAGGTTACTATTATTCTAAAGCATGAGCCGGTGCTTAAAAATTCGGAACAGTTGTATCTGGCATACAGTGAGGACATCGAAGGTATTTACTAATAAAAATTGATTGTAAAACCTGATTCTAGTCAGGGTCATGCTGCCGGAGGCAACCAGTTGTGTCTCTCTCACATCGATGTTTCCCTCTCTCTCCCTCTCCCTCCCTCCTTCCCACTCTTTCTGAAGAAAAATGGAAAAATATCCTTGGGTAAGGATTAAAAAAAAAGAAGAAATAAAATAAAACCTGATTCTAAGTCCCTTAACTTTATAAGTTCCTTATGAAAGAAGGAGGAAACATATCTTAAGAAACCATAATATATTTCAAGTATAGTAAGAATTTGGTCAAAAATTCAAAATAAAAGATGCCTTGGAAGAAACTTAACTAAAATGAATATATTTTAAAATTCTAAACTTGAAAATACAAATAGTAAACTTATTTTTAAGGAAAATAGAAAATTTATGGTGATATAGCTTTTAAAAAAAAGGTCTTATTCTTTATATATAAAAACATTCTAGTTCTTCCCCTAAAATTTACAGATATAGAAATAATAACATGTAGTGTAAAATTTATTTAAATTAGAAATCCAACTATGTTCTTAATTATTTATATGGTATATATAAATTAAATACACAAACACACATATATATTTATAGACTTTGCTGTGATGTTTTATAAAACTGATTATAAATTTGGAAATCTACATGTTTCATACAACTGGATAATGCTATACTGGACACTGTATATCTTTTAAATAATACAAAAATTCATTTCATTTTGTCACTTTTATTTTCCTCCTAGCGTTTTGTCCTATATCTTTTCTACAAAAACTGCTATTAAGTGAGGTCTACTGCGCTATGCTTCACAATTGATTTTGTTTAAAATCTCAGTTCAGGACTTTATACTTAGCCTATTTAATCTCATCTTGTCAGTTTGGGCTGCTCTTTTTAACCTACTAAGACCTTGTCAGATCCAATGTTTTAACTCTCTTTCCAAGATTGATTTAAATCACAAATACCATGAAGCAGTCATCTGTATTTTCACCTAAGTCATGGATAAACCTATACAAGTCATTTTGGAGAACGGAGACCTGCTTAGAGGTTAATCTGGGTCAATTGAACAGAATCCCACAGATGGAATTATAGTCCATCTACTTGTCCTTGTACCTAGATCACATTTTATCCAGACACTTGTTCCATAAAATTTGAAATCAGGTTAAATTTAGTTCATTTGGAAATACTTCTTCAACTGAATATAAAACCACATTTCTTTTGCAGGTTAAGTTTTATTATTTAGCTTGGAAAAGTCTATGATATGTTTTTTTTGTTTGTTTGTTTGTTTTGTTTTTTTTCCAGAAACTATAAGCCAAACTTGTATGTGTCTATTTATGACACTCCCTTAATTTCCTAATTCCTGTGCTCCTCTGGAAAGAGGAAATTAGGATAGCTGATATGATTTTTAGGGAATCCGTGATTTCATCAACTCTTAAGAATCTGTTAATTCACTCACTCTACATATATACAGTGAGTTTCGAGGTAGTGTCAGGCACTGTTCTAGATCTAGAAATCTGAAGATGAATAACATATGGCCCTTTATCTTTACAAATAATAGTACAAAACAAAAACAAAAGCCTGCGATAAAAGTGTGAATCATACGCCTGAGACACAAAATGGAATTCAGATTGAATTTCTTGGGGAAAGCTCCAAACGGGCATTCACATTTTTTCTTCTTTCAGTTTTATTTTGTATTGGCTTTAACTTAGTGACTAGACAGTCATATGCTTACATGGTGTTCCCCTCAAGACACATTTCAACTTTTGAGGGGGAGTGACAACAGGAGCTGTCTGGGATGAGGTTTAAAACAACATCCTGGAGAATATGCACGTCGGCACTTCCACTCAGTGCAGCTCACGAGTACTGGGCTCTTCGGATGGCTCTGGGGTTAGAATGACCACATCCTCATCTGCGGGGAAGCTGAGCAAGTGCTCGGAACCGTGCCTTGTCGCTTAGCTTCCCAGCGTCTAGGAAAAGAATTTCCCAGAAGAAGGAAAGATGTCAGGGCAGAAACTGGGAACCATATATCCAAACACTGTGACAGGGAAACAAAGAGTTTGCTGCCCGAGAAGATAGATAGTAAGACTGAAGAAAGTGTGTCATTTGAGAGAGATCGTTACAGTTCATGCAAGACAGAGAAGAAAGACGAAAATTCAAAAGAGGGAAGCAGAGAAGAAAAGAGCTACCAGGTGATGCCGTGTCCTGGAGAAGAGAAAAGGAAAAGAAATGCCATTTAGAGAGAGAACGTTCAGCCAGGGAAAGGGGAGAGCAGACTTTCAGTGTAGGTCCATCCAATGGTAGAGTGCAAGCGGAGTGAACTGCTTGATCGATTCTATTTTCTATTTATTTGCCAGCAATGGAGAATGCAATTGAAGTAAGAGTGTTAAAACACATGCATGCATATACACAACTAATCTTATGTATTATGCTCTCAGTTTATTCTGAAGCCTGAAGAAACAGTATTATAATTCCATGAGTCATCTCCATTTTGAAAATGTTATTTAAAAATGTACGCATCCAAGATCTCCTTTGCACATTATGTTCATTAGCTCCCTTTCTTTGGTTGTACACAGGTATCATTGGGCAGATACCTTCAGAATTTTGCTTTCTGGAGTGTTTCTTTACTTTGGGATGTTGTTTTGTTAGACAAAAGAAGATCATATTGGATGTACTATTTTTAATCTGTTTCTCAACATCTATATAAATGTCTGATTATTACCCTCTTCCATTTTTATAAGGCTCATGTACGTCCACTTCTTAGTTTCTGTTTATTTTGTTATACGCTGTATTCTATCAAAATTAAAGTCAGAGGAGGAGCGTCTTCCATTGTTCTTCTACCTCTTACAAGATAAGACAATCACCAACACAGACATTTTATGTTTTCACATTTACACTTTGATCCAACGATGACTTCATGCATATGTTTAAACATTAAAATGTTTATCAACATTATTTATACACTGAGAAAGGATAAGTGAAGGTATCTATGAATGCCCAGTGAGTTTTATTCATCAACTTATCCTCACAACAGCATCTTCAGTGTTGGTATTCTTGTTACCATTGGCTTATGAGGAAGTTGGGACCCAGAGAGTTTAATTTGTACCGGGTCACACATAGGCCGGCCCTATGATTTGCATACTTTTCTAAGCTGAACATCAGCATTCTATTACCTACCATTTGACTAAAACATTGACATATGCCAGTGGATACAAAAGTATGTATTTTAGGGAGCATGGTTATCAAGGAGAGATAGTAAACACGAAAATTACTAACATTTACGAAGTACTTAGTGTATTTTAGGACCTCTATGTTTTTATGTTTTAGGACCTCTATAATACTTGACATTCATAGCAACCCAAGCAGTGGATATTATTCTCATCTCAGTTTTAGAGATGAAAATACCAATTGCTAAAAGATTAAAGGACTGGTCCAAAGTTTTAGATGACAGAAGGGAGCAAGGCCAGACTTTGGATCCTTAGATTCTGATAATACACAGCCAGTCTCGTTATCCAAGTCTGTACTGGTCCTAGTAGAGGTACAGAGAAAGAAAGAAAAAGAAATACATGTTTCACAATTTTTCTGTTCTTTCAGAGATGGGTGTGGCATTCCTTAGTTATTGATATTGAAAGGTGCTAAGAAGTAGTTTAGAAGAATATGCTAACAACGATGGGAGCATTGTGTATGGAATTTAATAACCACAAACCTCAGTTGAAACATTGGGTTATGTTTGATGGTTTTTCACAATGTGATCCATTTGCTCCTACGCAGTGAGGTTAGATAATTCAAGATCTTGAAAGCCAGAGGGAAAGTCTAAGTTTGCTGTTGTAAAGGAGAGGAAGCTCCTGAATGCCCAGCGCAGGGAAGTGACGTGATTAGGACGCTTTAGAAAGATTGATTTTGCATTTACACACCATATGGATTGAGATCCGGTGGGATGTCCAATAGAAAAGGAAGCTCAGAGCCACAAATGGCATCACTGGCGGCGGCAGAGAGGCCCCGGGCTTGGAAATTAACAGTGGAGACAGGAAGGAAGAGATGGATACAGGAATTGTGATACAGGGAGGGGGAAAATAACTTTGAGACTCATGGTAATGTATGTGAGAGATGGAATCAAGGAGAATCTGATTATAAAACGCTTGAGAAAGTGGAGAGAAGAATTAGAGATGTTCGTTGGAGGCATATCAAACACTATTCACTTGGACGTGTTCTGTGTCCTGCTGTGTTTTTAATTGCTGAGATATACATTTAATGCATCATACATTCTAGTCACTTTCCTCAACGTTACATGTACATATGTACGTGTGCATGCATAAATATGTAATAATTTAGTAGTCATAAAATCAGAACGTCGAAACTGTTCAGGGACACTAGCAGAGCTGCAAACCATAAGCACTCCTTTTTAACAGAAAGAAAAGGCCAACACAAACCCAATGGAAATGAAGACCCACGTCACAGTCAGCAGCTCTGAAAATAGACTGTCAGGCTACAGCAAGATGCCCACTGACCCAAGTCTGGTGACGGCACTTTCGTCATAAGAATAGAGAGGCTCCTATTTCTGTGAAGGTGCACCACGTTGAGGGCCACAGCTTAGAGAATGGTGTGCAACTCTGTGGACAGTGTAAGAACCAAGGACCACGTACATGCCCTGTGGTCTAAGGTGGAAGCCCATGAGGAATTATACCTTCTCCTCCTCTCCTGTTACTTAGCATCTTTCCTTTGGAATTGTATCAGCAAACTGAAGAGTGTCATCGCTGTGAGTTCTAGCCCTGCTCAGCTCCTCCAGCTCACACCTGTGGCTTCTTTTAGGAAGTCAAGCCATCTCATATTTGGTCTGCCTCTTTCTCTGTTCCCTTCTTTTTCGCTCAGCATTATTATCTTTTCTGAGGAACTTTGCCTTCTCGTAATGTGCTCAGAAGACAACTTCGATGTTGTCATGTTTTGCCTCCAGCGGTGTTCAAACTCGAGGACCCACACACTTGTCTCTCTGGAGGTCCAGGGTCTTGTAGAGCTGTCTTCAAGCACCATATTTCAGATGAATCCGTTTCCTACCTTTCTCACTGACCATTTTGTGCATCTTACGTAGTCACTGAGAATACGGGAGTGTGAGTGGTCTTATCTGGGTCCCTAACCACACATCTTTGCTCTTGTGATCTTCCCTAATTCTTCCTTTCTTCCCTTCTGAGTCTCAGCCTTCTCTTGGTTTCTTAATTATACATAAATCACCAAATGTTATGATTGTTTTGAATGTGATATTGAAAAGAAAGAGATTGAGAGACAGAAAGAGATACCTTTAATGTTTAATGTGCCTGTAATTCTTCATGTTTCTGGAGGAGAGGTTTCATTCATTTCTTTATTGAGACTTTTCATCTCTTATTTTCTTCTTTCGCCTGTTTGACCTTTCAGATTACATTCCATAAAGTTTTGTATACTAGAAAAGAAAATAAGGTTACACGCAGGACACCTTATTGAGCTTAAAATAATGTGAGAAATGGACTGATAACAAAAACACACACAAGGCCCTGGCCGATTTGGCTCAGCAGTTAGAGTGTCGGCCTGCGGTCCAGAGAGACCCGGGTTCGGTTCCCGCTAAGGGCATGTACCTCAGTTGCAGTTTGTCCCTGGCCCTGGCTGGGTTGTGTGGGTGGCAGCCACTTGATGTGTCCCTTTCATGTCGATGTTTCTCTCTCTTTTCCTCTCTCTCCCTCCTGCTCTGTCTGAACAAAAAATGGAAAAATGTCCTCAGGTGAGGATAAAAAAAACACACACACAAGAATGACATTTATAGTTCTTTTTTAAATATAGGAATTGAAATATAAATCTCTCAACTGAATGTTTATTTTAATTAAACACCACCAAAATGAAATTAAAACAGATAGTTTATAGTTTTGTTGAATTCATAATAACAATTTTTCCTAAACTTAACGATTGCCCCCAAAATTATCAATATAAATGTAATGAAAAAGAAAACAAGAGGTAATTATTTATCCTAATAATTCAAAAAATGTATTTCTTATTATGTTTTCATTATACCTGTGTTCCCTCCCCGTCCTCTCTCACAAGCTTATTTTCTTTCAATGAAAATAAAAGGCTTATATTGTAGAGCAAAGTAAGAAGTAAAATTATTCCCTCCATAATGAAATTTGATACTGAATATTTACAATTTGCTTCCTCTGATATTAATGATTGATTAGTGTATACTTCCTTGCAGTTTAAACAGATCTTCCAGCAGTTTCTGCAGCTTTGTCATGCAAATTAAGTATATAGGCAGCAACACTCTTTATTTCTAATTCTCAGAATACCAGAAGTCTGTTTTTTAGAATGTTGTATCACATTTTCTTAATCTCTTTTCGTGAATTCATTAATTCACTTTACAGTGTTTCACAAATAGCCCTGGCCAGTTTGGCTCAGTGGTTAGAGTGTCATCCCATGGACCAAGGAGTCGCAGGTTGGATTCTGGTCAAGGGCACGTATCTCAGTCCTGGTTCAGTCCCTGGCCCTGGTCAGGGTTGTGCAGGAGGCAACTCTTTGATATGTCCCTCTCACATCGATGTTTCTCTCTCTCTCTCCCTCCCACTCTATCTGAAGATAAATGGGAAAATATCCTCAGGTGAGGATTAAAAAAAAGTTTCACAAATATAATGTTTTCTTTCACAGTGTTATTGAACTCATTGGGGTGACACTGGTTAACACAATGTTACAGGTTTCAAGTGCCCAGTTCTACAGCACATCATCTGTACAATGGCTGTCTACCTTACTTAGGCTGTATTTGCTTTGTGACTGTTCATAGATGTGCCATCCAGTCCCTATGGGGTGAAGATCATAGAGCTGTCGCAGACCACAGCCAGGATTTCGTTCAACAAGCCAGATTCCCACGGAGGCGTGCCCATCCATCACTATCAAGTGGATGTCAAAGAAGTGGCGTCGGAAACCTGGAAAATCGTACGCTCCCATGGAGTTCAAAGTGAGTCCCTGTCAGAGTGTGTGGATTAATTCCAGCTCATCTTACACAAACCTGTGTGATTACTTTTTATTTGCCTTCAAAATGTACTTTTTTCTCTTTTTTTAGATGAAGAAATGTTTAGTTTTACTGCCAATAGAAATAAAATTGACATTTTAGGTAAGCAGAATGTAAACATAAAATTGGATTTGTTTAAACAAATTTTTTGTATGTGTAGAAATCTTTACTGGATTATAGGACATTGTGGGACCTGCTGTCAGTAGTGAGTCACAATTGTTTATTTTTATGGTGTGGCGATTTCCTTCCTCTTACACTGCCACAGTTCACATTTTGCCTACAGAGTGTGTCTAGTGATCCATACACCAATTTTCAAGAAGGAGTAACATAAAAATCTGTATATTTATGAATGTGTGTGTTTTATTATATATAATACAATATTTAAAAAGTCAGTTTTTGCTACAATTTGGTAGATAAATTAAAATATTCTTTCAACATTCCCGTTTAATGTACAGGGGTTTTTTGTTGTTGTTGTTTATTTATTTTTAACAGACCGACAGTCCTCAGAAGGAAGGGATGGGGGAAGGAAGACATAAACCAAAGAACTTATATGCATATATGTATAATCAATAAACACAGACAACAGTACGGTGAAGGTGGGAGGGGGGAGCGAGGAGGAGGGAGTCAAAAGGGAGAAAAGGAGGGTCATCTGTAATAAAAAATATTAATACATTAAGTACTTTTTTGTTTTAATGTGGTAAGATTGGGAAGACATTTTCACTGTCCTGTTCTTTTTGAGAATAACTTTTAAAAAGAGAGGAAAAGTTTGCATCTTTAGTAAAGATGAATGAGTTTAGAAAAATCACCGAAGTTCAACTCTGGGGGTAAAAAAGTACTTAAAATTTTTGTAGTGGAAAAACAATTGCTGATATATGAGATTTAATGACTAAATATTCAGAAATGTGTTTTGTTTTAATACATTAATAATATTTCTTCCATCACTAGCTATGAAACTCATAATATGAAATGTCTTATATATATATATTTATAAAGCCATCTACTAAAATTTATTTCAAAATTATATTTTGAAAACTTAAATATCACTACCAATCATGGCATTTTGAGTAATAGAATTAGCTAATTCAGAGAAGTTAAAACAATTTATAACTCTACTTTTTTACTTATATAGAAATGTATCATGTTGTGAAAACGTGTGTGTTTTTTTTTATACTATAAGAAGAAACTGAAGTAGAAAATAATAATAAATTAGCATATTTGGACTTTGTTGTTTTGTTCTTAGAACTCTACTGAGTGACCCAAAAGGATAGCATAAAATAGTAAGGAAAGTATTGCTCCATGTCATCTGCTGGCCTGCCTTCAGCCTTGCGCGTATGCGTAGGGTTCTGTAACTGGCAGGAGCCCTCCTGTGAAGAATTATTCCAGTAGACAATGGGGACAGAACAAGTAAAATCATTCTAGTCTCACCTGTGTTGGCACCTGCTTGTTTAGTTTTTATTAAGAGTAAATAGAGATTTTAGATAGAAATGTCAAACATATTACCAATCATTAATCATCACCATGTCTCACAGCATCCCTTCAAACCCGCCAGCTCATCACTTCTCCAGCGATGAGGGTTTGGATAGTAAGTGCTCTTTGTTCACATGCTACTTAGTGCAGGAGAGAGGATTTGTAAAGATAGTCCCCCAAAATAATACATGAGTGAGTTCAAGGACTCTAGTAAAAGAAATCATTATCCCAGATGAAAACAATATTTATTTTTTAAGAGAGTGAAAATAAGAGAGGGTAGAAGGTGAAAGACAGAGAAAATCAATTCTTTCTGATACTGCACAACACTCAAACCCTGAGGGAAAGTAATGTGAAGTCTGAATGTTAAAGAAATTACACTCGTGTACATAGTACGCCACCCCCAACCCCTCCAGCATTGGGGGGAGAAGGTGAACAGCCTCATGCAAGGTTTTTGATAATGTTGCAACACTGTGGAGAACTGACAGTGGACTTGAGCTGGCCAACGTGATCAAATTCAAAAACCTGACTTTATGCTCCATGTACCCATTTCTCAGAAGCATATGTCTCTGCCTATAACACTGATATATAATGACAAAAGGCACATGTTAATTTACAATGAGAAATTACTGCCCCAGAAATTAGACATTCAGAGTATATATGATAGGTTATTCTTTACCTGTAGGTATATTATGTAGGAAAGAAAACATGGATCAGAACACTTCTTGTGAATTTTGAATATCAGTAAGGAAAATTACATGAATGAGGTATTTAATGCCCTCAGGTTGGGACAGCTTAAAGCTTGCCAATGAAACCAAAATACTCTAAGTCCTGTGGCTGCAACTTCCTTACTTTCACATAAGGAAAGTATCTCCATCAGTAATTTCTTTCTGTTTCCACGGTTTACTCTTCTTCCATAGATATGTTAATGAGAACCTTAAATCAGGTTATAGTCATATAACCAGACTGCGTGCTCTCAACTCAGGGGAGTACCAACATGATTTTTAAAAAGTAACCCATTCTTTTTTGAATCCCCCTTTCAGTTATATAACATCTTTGGCAGACATCGTAGATTTATAGTCATCTTCAAGTAGAAATACATTCAGTAGTATCCTGCCCAGCATAAAGCATATAGAATCCAATCCTAGGAAATGGGACCTTATCCTGAAGAGTTGAGAGTTGGGAGGTGGCATGAACTACATCATCTCTTAGAAAGAGGAAGGGAATCAATACCTCTTATTTTCCTGGTGCTGTGTAGTTCTCTTTGGGCTGTTCTGCCACCTCTATTTTCTGTGGGATAGACATCTAAGGACCTGTCCCCTGGAGATGCAGGTGGAGTGCAACCAGCAGTCCTCACCCCCATCTCCCGTGTGTGTGTGTGTGTGTGTGTGTGTGTGTGTGTGTGTTTCTAGCTCATACTTTTACTTCCTTCCAAGACCTTTCAAGTTCTAGCTCCTGCAGGGTCCCAGCCTCAGATCTCCCTCTTGCACTGTTTTTCCCCGAGAGGCTATTCAAACCCAATCTTCTGTATCAGAGTTCTGGGCAAAAGCTCTTGGTTGTTTGCGCAGCAGTGATGTTTTCAACGTGACTGCAATAATTGATGGAAAAACAATCGCACAGTTCTCTTCCAGCTTCAGGTGTCCCCATTCACATCATTTTTGGTCTTTCGGAATTTGCCTTCCTTTTCTGTGAGATAATACGTGTATTTTTTTTTTAATTTTGAAAATAGATTGTATAATTTGTGCGTGTGCTTAGAAGACTTATTTTTGTCTATGTAGATGACCCTATTGCTGAAAATATAAAGACATACTGTAAAGCACATGGATATTTTTGAATAGTGAAGAAATGCTTCTTTTTTTGCCATTGTATTATAGTTGTGCTAATCAGTCATTCTAAAGTTTGAGACTTTTATAAAAATAATTATACTCACTGTTGTCAAGGCATTTGTCAGAAGATAGATTTAGGTTTAAACTATGAAGAGGCAGGTGCATGTGGTCATAAACATTTCAGCTAATACTTTATTTTTTTGCCCTCAAAGTGGCTTTACTTATTTATTTTCATGTACATGAGTTTAGTTAATGTTCACTTTTCCTTATTTAATTCTCAAATGTATTATATACTGTTCATGTACCTACTTCTAATAGCTAATAGATATTACCACCTAGAAATAACTATCAGTTCTTGCTTGATTGCAGTGTCATTTAGCAAGAAAATTTTAGCATAAAAATTTTCTGTTAGTAGATTCTGATTCTACATATTAATTCATTCCCTGTGAACTTCACCTGCTCACTCTGCACCTGGTCCTAGGTTTAGGTCCCAGTTGAGATCTGGATATATTATTATATTCTTCTTTCAGTTTTAGCTGAAGCCTTTCTGATTATCCCAACAACTGATGTGACACAAACTAATTTTCAACATCTGGAGATTATGAGAAAATAAGATATTAACAGCATAAACTATTCAAATAGAGAATGTGAGTCATTCTGCCTTAGAATTTTGAGTGAAAAACATGGATCACAGGTGTAGCCAGACTGGTCGGGAGGGTTGCATGACACATTTATTACCATATCATTTAACACTTTGTAAGTGTGTTCTAGCCACCTCATTGAGCACCAATGAAGAGAAAATAATAACCTTGCAAAACAACTTTCAGCCTTCCAAATAAAAATGAAAAATTAATATTTTAAAATATCAGTTCTTTTTAACAGAGCATAAAAACAAGTCTCCCAAACAGCGTAAGTAATTTCTACTGACTTGTGCAAGGTTTAGCCAGTTAGAGTCACACGTAGAAAGAAGTCCTTTCAATCTGAACCAAAATTACTAGGTGTTCTGCTTTTTTTTGGATCTGAGGATATAGAGGAGTTCCTCTTTGTTTCTGAAAATTAAGGAGATGATTTTTATTTGAAAAGAATAGCATTTTCTAAACAAATCTTTCATTCAAAACTTTTCAAATTCTTACGATTTTCACTTCTTGAAGAATGTAATAGCTAACTACAGTGTGACGATAGCTACACGGTTGGATATTTCTCAGTCGTTCATTGCAAAGCTCCACTGAACGCCAGTGTGGCTTTGCTGGATAGAGCAGTGTGTATAATTAATCCATAGGTGGTAATTTTAACATTATGGTATTTAGTTTACAAACACTGTAATTAAGGTTATGCACGTGCTTTCTTATTACATATAATTACAAACTTTTAATCTAGGTTTCTATTTTGTAAAAGTTCGATTTTAATTAAAATCTGAAGGAAAATCGATTCCTATGGTTGAGCAAGCCATTTTCAGTTCTGCGGAGAAGTAGCGTTCAATAAGCCTTTTTTCTCAGGATTGTTCTGAAGTATAGATTTGGATGTATAAATTACATACCTGTGCCTGATAGGTCAGCAAACTAATTTTGAATGGAAGCTTAAATTGGAGGAGGGTGAGGATTGGTAGATTTAATACTGAGAAACATTTTGGTGCAGCTACAGAGATGCTACTTCCTA